AGGTCACACATAATTTCTTAAATCTCTCATAGAGCAAATAAAGAATCTCAATATCCTTTTACTTGAAAAATATATCTTCCTCCTCTTATTAGCAACTTTAGAAACTAGAAAGATGGTATTAAGGAAGAGTCTTACCATATCTTTTCATTTTTCTACACTTCCTCGTTGTAGATAGATAATAACTAGTCTTTTACTTTGTTAATTATATAGAGAAAGAAAATTCTTAGAGCTTAATTTACTCTTCAAAAATTCCCATGTGGTTTTAGACTAAAAACAAAACATGTGGGTCCTCATTTTCGTGACCATGAAATTTTCGTATCAAAAGGCTTGAGTTCCAGATTTTTCTCTAGATCTTTATACTTTATGCACAACATATTAATATATGATCTAGGTTTCCCATTCTCTTATGTCTTCTCTTTGTTTTCTATATTTTCTCTCTCATGACTCACTAAAAAGAAATAAGTAGGGGTTGAGTACAATTTTAAAGATAAGAAGAGGTCTATTCGAAACGATAGAAAATCATGAACTTTTTTTTTTGGATCCATGAGCATCCAACATAGTACCAAGACGCTTTAGAATACTCATACACCTTATTTAATTAATTTAACTAGACTCCAATGATGAACAGAAGGAAATTTAATCAAAATATTTAAATGGATTGACTAAAATATACTTTTTTATATTAGTTTTTAAAATTTGTTCATTCTCCTTGTGATTAAAAAAATTAAATAAATAAAAGACTTTTTTTTTCTCCTTTCATTTAAATCTTTCTCTCCTCCTCTTAATCAAACCAAACATTTAATCAAAACCCTTTCTCTTCATTTTACCAAACAATCCCTGAATATTCCTAAACCCAAGAATATTTCTAAATCCTTATTATTATTATTATTATTATTATTATTAAGATTTAATTTTTTTTTTACCTCATATTAACTAAAACAAAAAAGTGAAATCCTAAAGTAGTTAAAATATATTAAATAATACCTCCAAATATAGAACAAAATATCCTAATTATTTTCTAGATGTTTCATTAAATGTTATAAAATCTTCATTTCTTTCTTTAATTTCTTGATTCTTTCCTTGAATTAATTTCAATTACCTCCTAATCTAAAATACGATTATATTTTCCTACAAGATAAATTAATATATAAGTACAAAATACTAAAAAGTCATTAACAAAAATGATTCAACATTATACCCCTTAACTAAGAACTTGAGTTCCATTTTTGATTTGGGTATATGTAGTCACAAATGGAAGTATTATTTTATCTCAACAAGGACTGTTTTTGTAGTGACCCCGCCTTAATCCCTACACTATATGACATAATTACTAATGACGAAAAATATCTAACTTAAGATTATATACTTACAAATACGATAAACATGTACTATACTGCATGCACATAAAGATAACAACTACATAAATATGTCAATATAAATACAATAATCCGATAAATGTAAATTATACAACCTAAGTTGTTAGTAAAACAACTACACCTGTCTATAAAAATCTATGACCGTCGAATAGTCAACAAAACATCCAACTTCAATGGTAGTGCATGGCCTCCACTATTGCACTCTAAAACCAAGTAAAAAAAACAATATCTCTCTCTCTCTCTCTCTCTCTCTCTGTCTGTGTGTGTGTGTGCGTGCGTGCGTGCGTGCGTGCGTGCGTATGTGTCTGTGTGTGTGTGTGTGTGTGTCTGTGTGTGTCTGTGTGTGTGTGTGTCTGTGTTTGTGTGTCTCTGTGTGCCTCTGTGTCTCTGTGTGTCTCTGTGTCTCTGTGTGTCTGTGTGTTTCTGTGTGTCTGCACAACATAAAAACGTCACATCATCATCTCATCTCCAACAACACAACACAATACATCACAACACAAATCAATACCACAACTCAATTTGAACACAACAACACATTTAATCACAGATCAACATAACATATGAACAACACAATCAACACAATAACTATGTGTTGTCACGTATTTCAACTACAATATCTTTTATAACACAAGGAAATTAGTTTAAGTGTCTTGACTCTATTGAGTCGACAATATAGGGTGATCTTTTTGGACTTATTAGATCAACAACAAGTTGGATATAAATCCACAACATAACAACTCGATATTTCAAACTTCACCACTTGAACAAGGAAGTCTAATACTAATATTAGGGTAGAACAACTAGATATGGGTTTACCACGACATTAGCTAACTTAACTAAGCCTCCTATGAGATTAGTCTACCAACTATCCTCCAAATATTATGCCTTTCTGATATTTAGTTAGGAACTAAGTTCCCGACTTCATACTTTACTCAGTTAATTACTTGTAATCAGTATAATTTGACCTATCTCTATATTGTGATCGCTTCATACACGTGTGTCTCGATCTTGCCCACACATGATACTAACAAGGTCCTAAAGGAGAAACAACGCAGTATTCACTTCAAGGTTCAACTTCTCAAGAAGAGTTTTCAACAATTTGGACCATTGGAACACCACAACACAATATCCACACAATGAAATTGAAACTTTCGCAAACCTCTCCTCTAGTACTAAGTGATAAACACAACTCAACATGTCAACTCTTTACAAATTCAACACAATAGCAAAATCAACATTCAATTTTACATCTTACCACTCAATCTCACTACTCATATTCAACTTTTTAATCAACATACATATCAAAAATCCATCGTATATTCAACACAACTATATAGTCAACAAACAACTCTATCAACACACATCGTACAATTCATATCTACTTTTCAACTAATAACTCAATCATCACATACTACTTCATCCCTACAACTCATTCATCATATTTCTTTATTATTATTATTATTATTATTATTATTATTATTATTATTATTATTATTATTATTATTATTATTATTATTATTATTATTATTATTCATAAGAATTATAATAAAGATCATAATATAGTTTGAATAAAAGATTATGTGCATACTATTCCAACTCTCACTATTAAGTCTACCATAATAGTTCTCACTTTTTATTATTTAAATCCAAATACAATATAACTTTTAGTTTAAAAGAATAAAACAAAATATTTTTATTTGGATTTAAAACCAGATGTTTAAATAGAAACTAGAAAGACCCTAAATTTGAAATGTGGTCCCCTAAGGAGCATTGAAGATTAGCCATATTTTGTCGGGAACCAGAATGGAGAACATTAGGATTGATCTAATACGTTTTATGGAAAATTAACGTGTATGTAATTGGTCGAAAGTTTGGATATTTTAAGTTCGACTTTTATAAATAAAAGATATAATCGAACAGAAATACTTTAATTTAGTAAAAGCAATAAGTTATTAAGAAAATTAATAAATATATATTTCTTATTAAAAAATATGCCGTAGTTAACAATTTTTTTATATGTAAAATTAAAAACTCCTATATAACAAGAAATTTACAAATATATAACAACAGGTTCCTAGATATAAATGAGTTATAATGATATCAGTTCTTTAAGACAGCAAATATTAAATTTAAATTTAAATTTAAAGGGTTTTGGGCTTGGATACTTATTCCTTGTTGGTGGCATTATACTTTTCATTATATAAAATTTTAGATTAAAAAGTGATAAGTAAGTGATGGTATACGCTACTTATATTAATAAATTAAAGACAGGAAAATAAAGCTTGGAGTTAGGCAACGAGACATATGTTGAGACTCTTTTAATTAATTTGACACTTTCTATGCACAGTGTATATATTCTTTTCTAAATGAATTATTACAACTTACAAGAATCCTTTTTATATATGTTCATGCAAATTAATGAACGACACAAAATATTATTACGCTTCTTTCAATACCATGGAATATTATTATTCCATCCTAAAAGAGTGACACCTTATTGGCTTAACAACAACAACAAATAGCCAACCCTATTAATTTGATTCTTTTTTTTTTTATTGGGTTAAACACTTTTTAGGTTTTTTTGGGTTTCCTTCTAACTGCCAACCCTATTAATTTAATTGGTGCCATTGAATCAGCATATATTACCATAATATAATATGCTACTATTTTCTTCTTCTGTTTGATTTAAATAATATCCGAGAAACTAAAAAGTCTCAAAAGAGAATAATGGGAATTAAAAAGAGATAGCCTGCAAACACTTTTTCTTTATTTTCTCTTTCTTTTTACCCTTTTTAATTTTTTTCCATCAGTCACCCTTTTTAATTTGCTTCTGTTTTTGTGTATTTTTATGAACAAAATTTAACTGAAACATCATAACTTTTTTAGTATTATGATTTATGTAAATAAATTAATCTTAAAGGTCGACACACATTATTAAATTAAAAACTATAATACACTGTCAATATAAATATTAATTATCAATTAATTAGAAGTTATTTTAATTACAATCTGTAAAATAATTATTATAAAATTCAATATTCATAGACAATCCATAATTTACACAATCGGTATAGTCATATTATATATAAAATGAAAATTTAATTTTTATTAAAAGTAATAATACCACATTGAATAAATGAGTGTATAGATCAACTAACACATAAATGTTAAAAATTTTACCTTTTTTATTAAATATAAAAAATATTACAAAAATAATTTCAATATTTTTATTATCCTAATTTTTTCCTTTAACCACTAAGCTAATTTTAGTGATTTCCTTCTTTTGTTTTAAAGATAAGTAAAGAGTAATTTTTTTAGACGTAAAAAATTAAAATGGATTTGATCCTGTGACCTTATTATATCATCTTAATTTTCATAATTAGACCCAAATTTTTCTCTATAGGAGTGAGTAGAAAATCAAAGTTATATAAATATGCTTAAGAAATGTATTAAAGTATTTACTAACAATGTTAGGCCTTTGTTGGGATCTAAAATGAAGAAAGTTGTCTCTTATAAAAATAATATATTAATATTAGCATGAGAGAAGAAGAAAAGAAAAGAAAAGTAATAAGATGTATAAATGTGGCGATATTTGATGAATTTTGGCATTAGTTGAGAGTTGAGAGGGAAGAGGTGGATGGATGTAGCGTAATTTGGTTGGAGAGTATAGTGAAGAGCGTAGCCAATGGGGTAGGGTCGATGAAGACGCCAACGTGGCAGCGAGTGGGGTGCACAGAAAGAGCGTGCACCGCAGAGAATAAAAGAGTTGAAAAGAAAATCTATTACAAGCCACAAAAACTTGTGGCCAAGAATCGAAACCCCTGCGTGACGTGGCACCCGGCACTCGTTTAAACGGATCAAAATCCAACTCCTCCTGCCTCCATTGCCAACTTAGATCAAAACCCAAACCTCAAAAAAACCCAACACATCACTAACTGCCGCCGCAATCATTCATAACAACGTAACAACCGTCTCTCCCGCGTTTTGCACTTCGCTCCTGTCGTTTCGCTTGGGATCTCCCTCAGAATGCAGGAAACTAAGGACCCCGCGATTAAGCTCTTCGGCCAGAAGATTCCCTTTCCCGGCGGCGCCGACGCTCCGCTCATTGCCGCTGCTGAATCTCCCTCGCCGCCGCTGATGGATGTCGACGGAGAAGATGACTTTGACTTTGCTGACTCCGAGGCTGAAGAAGACAAACATCAGGTACAACGCTTAGTTCCTAATAAGGTTCAAATTATGGAAATTATAAATATTTTCCTTAATTTCTTTTCATTTCTATTTTTTTCTAAATTCAACTTGGTTTTCCTTTTTCTAATGTATATATATATATATATATATATATATATTTTTTTTATTGTTTTCTCAAATTTTCGGTTTTTGTGTCTGGGGATCTGGAACTTGAGAAACAGAGTATTTGAAGCAGAGTCGATTAAAAAATGAATATAATTTGCAAAAACTAGCTAATTTAATGTTTTCTGCCTCCTTCTCTTGTTTAGGAGGGGGAGTGAAGTGTTTTTTACTTGTAATTTTCATTTTTCTTTTATCATTTTAGTACTAATTAAACCTTACACTAAAGAATTTCACTATGATATGCCTGAGGAACATATGAATTTATTTTTATATGAAATGATTTTTATGGTTTGAATAAACTGACTGGTGAGTAGTTTTGATGCCAACACACTCAAACTTCTACTCAAATCTTTCTTCAAAGCTCCAATTTTCTTTTCTTTACCTTTATTAACCATGCAAAAACGATGTTTTTCTCTTCGAATTTTCACCTCACAGCTGAATTATTGACTTAGCTTCAGATCCTGAATCTAAAATTTTGTTAAATCTTAACCCTCGAGATTGTTGTTTTACATCTTTTGGCTATATCAAGTTCTAGACTATATTTACATCGTGGAACAGGGCAAAGACTCATAATTGGCAATTTCATTGGACTTGCTCGAATTACATACTTTTTTTTTTTCTTTTTTTTTTTTTCTTTTTTTCACTCTCCCACTTGAAACGTACACACCCTGCACAAAGATTCTGACAACAATTATCGGTGTTTCAATTTTTTCTTCCCAAGAAAATGGAGCATAATAATTATAATTTCCTTCGAGGCTTCGACCTTCTTATTGTTATAAATATGATTTTCACTATGAATATTCAGTTCATAGCTAAATTATCAACGCAGCTTCTTCAGGTCCTGAATCTGAATTCTAAATTTTTCTTAACCCTTGGGAGTTGGGATTGTTGCTTTTTTTTTTTTTTTTGTTCTGGGTATATCGTGTTCTAGTATAACAACCTTTAATTGGCAATTTCGTTGAATTTGCTCGAAGTTCATACTTTTCTCTATCCCACTAGAAACCTATACACTCAACACAACTATCAGTGGTTATATGGAGTCACTCACAAGTATGTGAATCTGCATGTATATACTTGGTGTTATTACTCCTAAGTTTGCTTTTGATTAATTAAGAAAAAACTGTCAAATTATTAGGATCCTGGCGCTGAAACAATTAGTGAGAAAACAAAAGAAGTTGATCCTCCTCCAAATGGTGGTGAAGACTCTAACAAGAGCCCAGAGGGCATTCAGAAGCCAAACACACCTTCCATAGACGAAGAAAGTCAATCTGCAAAGTCAAAAAGCGAGAACAAGTCAGAGAACGACCCAAACAACAACAACAACAACAAAACACTGAAAAAACCAGACAAGATCCTCCCGTGTCCACGGTGCAACAGCATGGACACCAAGTTCTGCTACTACAACAACTACAACGTGAACCAGCCACGCTACTTCTGCAAAGCGTGCCAAAGGTACTGGACCGCGGGTGGCACCATGAGAAACGTCCCAGTGGGTGCAGGGAGAAGAAAGAACAAGAACTCAGCCTCTCACTACCGCCACATCACCATCTCAGAGGCCCTTCAAGCTGCTAGAATCGAATCCCCAAATGTTCCAACTTTGAAAACTAATGGAAGAGTTCTCAGCTTCGGCTTGGACCCTCCCATTTGTGATTCCATGGCATCAGTGCTCAACCTCGCGGAGAACAACACAAGAAACGGCTTTCACAATCACGCCGTGGAGGATCAGAGAAACAAGGAAGATGATTGCTCAAGTGCTTCCTCCATCACGGTTTCTAATGAAGAGAGTGGGAAAAGCACGTCGCAGGAATCTATAATGGTGCAAAACATAAACAGCAACGGTTTCATTCCTCATGTTCCGTGTGTTTCAACTGTTCCTTGGCCTTACCCTTGGAACAATGGTGCACCTGCTTTGTGCCCTCCAGGGTTTCCCATGTCATTCTACCCTGCTGCGGCATTTTGGAACATTCCATGGTTTCCCTCACATTCTCCAACGCTTGGGAAGCACTCGAGGGAGGATGACGTGGCCAAAGAGGACCCTTTGAGGCAGAGAAACGGGTCTTCTGTTTTGGTGCCAAAAACATTGAGGATTGATGACCCCAGTGAGGCTGCAAAGAGTTCTATATGGGCAACGTTGGGGATCAAGAACGAGTGTGTGAGTGGGGGAGGCATGTTCAAAGGATTCCAATCCAAGAAGGACGAGAAAAACCACGTTGTTGAAACCTCTCCTGTCTTGAGGGCCAACCCTGCAGCCTTGTCTAGATCCCTAAATTTTCACGAAAACTCTTGAATTAGCAAACTTTCTTTGTATGAGACGGTGACCATCCTTCAGCAATGGGTGTTTTTGGAATGAAGTGAAGGTTGGTAGTCTCGGTTAATCTACTAGGAGGTGCCAGGTGGGAACTAATTTTTGTCTTTCATGTAACACTATTTCTTTTTTGCTTTTTATGTTCTTAGTTTGCTGAGTTTGAAGTTGGTGTACATATATAAATATATGTCAAAATACTACCTAGCGATGTAAAACCTCTTTCTTTACTCTTTACCATGTATAAAAGTTCGGAGGTACTGTATTTTCTTGTGAAAATTGGAAAGAGACTTCCTTTGTTTTTGTTTTGTGGAAAAAATCAATGTATTTTGTGGATAGTTCACCTTCGCCTTCGCTATCTGAACGTTAGTAGAGGTATCTGCTTTTCGAAAGATGACGAAAAAATAATGAACAGAAGCAGAATATAAGCACATACACACTACTTGAGGCAAAAGTAGTGGATACTCGTACTCTTGTCTGAGTCATATCGCATGTGCCTTGTTACAATGCTAAATAATCATTAAACTCGGGGATTTATAAAAACAAAACAAAGTATTACGCTTTCTATAGCTTGGTTTGTCCTGAGAAGCTATTCCCACAGTTGCTTAATGAAAGAAAGAGGGTACAATTGTGGAATAAGAATTCAAGATCTTTTCACTTAGACCCTCCTTTGGGACTCTTGAGGATAAACTTGCATCTAAAATATGCCAGCTACCTGTACTTTTCTGCACTCAAGGATCTTAACAACTAGCATAAAAGCTGGACCACTAGAATATTTTTTCTTAAATGTTTTCATTGCTTTCTCCTCTTTTTCACAGTTATTATAATTTTTTTAATTTATTTAGACAATAAATATTATACCATGTTAACTACATTTAAGTACAAAGATGGAAAGCATAGGCTCTTTCTTTCACTAGTTACAGTGTTATAGGGGAAAGATGTCATCATCGTAATCATTCACAATTGCGAAAACCTTCATTTACACTCGCACTCCTATGATTTTTTGAGATTAAATCTAATACTCCTTCGTTATTTGGACAGTGAAACTATTTAAATGTTGAAAAGATATTACCATCTTTTGTGTTTTATTGAAATTGTACCCAACGTTCTTTCATTATTTGAATCTATAGTGAAACTTTTTAAAAATTGAAAAGACCTTATATTTATAACTTATATTTTTTTGAAAGTGCACTCAATACTTTTTTATTATTTCAATCTATTGTGAGTTTAAAAAGATGTTACACAAAATCGATATGGATTTATATTATATAACGACAACTAGTTGAACCAATCTTTTGAAATCATTTATTCCATAATTTATAGTAGGTTTTCCTTAGTTGAAAATTTAAAATCCTAAACTTTCTTGAAATTGCATTTATTTTAATAGTCATTGGTTCGTATGGAGAAGGTGAGAGATGTTTTTTTTTTTTTTGAGCAAAAAGTTCGTTAAAAGACATGTAGAAGTCGCATGACATCAATATGTTAATTATGTTATTTGTTAGTGGAAATATAAAGTAATATTTTTTTCAACTTTTAAGAAGTCTCGTCATAAATCAAAATAATAAAAGAATATTAGGTTAATATAAAAAAACACGTCTGAGTGTAATTTATTCTAATTATTTTCAAAATCTCATCTAAACTGTTTTTTAATTTTTCAACATTATAAAACACTATGCAGTGTATTAAAATTATTTTTGTTGATCTCAGTTCTTATAAACATTAAATTTCATACTGATGTGATCAAAGCCATGCACATAACATAAATTTGAGTTTTACTTTAATGAAATGCTTGATATCAATCTCTCTTTGTGACTGTAATATAGAACCCTTGACCATACTTTGAATATGGAAGAAATTGTCACCCTTGTTTATGTGATATACATATATATCACAAAAAAGTAATTGAGAGTCAATTTTTTTTTTTGGGTAAAAATAAGAAAGATTTCAAAGATGAGAGAATGAACTTAAGAATTTTCTCCAAAGAGTCGTAGATTGATTTGAGAAAATAAAATAGAAACGTTAGAATATTTGAGTTGCACAAGTGTTATATAATATTACTTTAAATAAAGCTGTTTGTGGGCTGTAACTTGCTATAACATTGTACATGTTTGGTTAGAATTAATTTTTAAACAATAATTATATTATAATTTTTTAAAAATTGAAAAAATACAATTAATTTCTTACATAAACTAATAAAAAATATAGATAATGCTAGAAGGTCATAAAATTTTCATAGAAGTGAACGAGGAGTTGACAAGATTAAAGAGTTGCTCCTACAGCTACACGTATTTTAGTTGATAGAAATTATTTAAGATGAATAATGCCAAAAACCTAGAACATTCTCCTTTCACTCGGTAATGATCTCTGCGAAATTCGGATTTCTTTTTCATTTTTTTTTTCTGGTAAGCAATTCTTCTATATATTATAATATTGCTTTCTATACCATTTTTCAACAAAAACTATTTAATCAGTGTTTTGTTTAAAGAATCTGATAAATTTACATTAATAATTAAAAATAACTTTATGTATAAAATAACTATTAAACATTATTTTAATTATCCGAAAATTATTGAAATATATGTTTTCCTTAATTGAAATTATATAAAAATTTGGATATTATGACTGATTTATACTGTACTTTTTCTGTGGATATATCAAAACTAGCCCAGCTTCAACTTGTGCACTTAATCAATCACACTCATGCACGTGAAAACAGCAAGATATTTTGTGAGCTTCAATCTAATACAAGCCACACTTTGTGAATAAGATGAGTTGGGATGGGACCCTTAAATGCAAAAAAATGACACATTGGCGATATCCTCTTCCTCTTGGCATTGCACTCTTTGTTACTTTTGGCTTTTTCTCTCTTTTTCTTTTTTCCCTTTCCCTTTTCTCAAAGAAAGCAATTGTTCATTTCTTTTCCTCCATATATCTATGTCTAAATTTCAATTATTTCAACGAAAACTATGCAGACAGTTCGTTGGAAGTAAGCATCATCATTAATTTCTAGCTATCACCAATTAAAAAAACTTGCTATAAATTTCATATATATCTCTGTGCCCAAGTCCCTCTATTGCACATTACTGTACTCATAATTTTACAACTTTTGGTATTTTAATTTCATTTCCATTTTAATAAAATTGTTAAATGAAAAGGACACTTGTTATTTTCTTGATTTTTCTTTTAATGCCCTGACATTTTGGCAGCCAATAGCCACATATCCATTACTCATGTCACCCGATGAGTCCTCATCAAACTAGCAGCTACTATAAAAAATTTATTGTATAATTTTTTTAAAAGCACTCTTAAAACAATCGAAAAAAACTTCTATAATTAAAACTAATTTATACATAAGTTAAAAATAAGATTTTGAACAAATTAATTTAAGAGAAAATTTTACAGATTAATTTATGTATAAATTAATTTTAGTTTATAAAAAATTCATTTTTTTATTTATATTTTTCTCTTCTGTTTACAGAGAAATTTACTCAAACATAGTTTGATGACATTTTCGAATTAGATGACCAAAAATTAAGTTTTCCAAATTTGAACGGCAAAGTGAGTTTTTCTGTTCAAAAAGAAAGCATAAAGGGAAACGGTGGTAGAAAGCTTAGGTCACTGTTGAAGAATGAAAAATTATGGCAAAATTGATTAGCATGGAGAAAGTGCTTGTTGCTTTAACTCACACATTTGCAAATGCAAATGGCCCTACCAGTTTTCTTCTATTGGCCTAACGTGGCCAATACTTTTTTATTATAAGGCTTGACAAATGCAGTTGTTAAGCCATTTTTGCCTCTCTTTTGGTCATCTTAATTATAATTATAATGCAAAAGAGTAAAGCAGAAACACTTAGACTAAGGGACACGGTTTAGGAAGCATGGCCACTTATAAAGGTGACTTTGTAGAAAAGCAATTAATTATAGAATCATTGCTTAATGCTCTTATCCCTCTTTAATCCATTGTCAACTTCAATGGACTAGGAGTCAGCTTCCCACTAAAGCTTTTAAACTAAATCTGTATATTAAATTGATTTGAATATAACATATAGTGGATCAACCACAATAATTTTTACATTGAGCATCCATCGTATCAACATATTAATTAATTGTTGTTGATTGGTTTACTATCATCTTCTCATCTTCTTTATCAAAAAATTTATTAACATTTCTTTTAATCAGGTTATTGGTATAAAATATATATATCAATTTTTTCAAAATTTAATATTTACCAGTTTATTTCAACTACCATATTTTTTTATTTACAAGATTCAAGTTTAATATTATATATATTTAAGAAATTTGAATTTACTTTTATTCGGATAATTGACATGATGGTTTCATTCAACACCATTTTTAGGTTGATGTGAAACACCTTATAAGTTTAATTATGATTTACAGAAGTACAATATTAAGGTTCTCTACCATGAATATCCCAATACGATTTAATTATCTGTTAGTAAGAAAGTCAAAACCTTACTTTTGTTTTTTAATTCATGAAATTAGTTAAGTCAAATGTATTTTAGGCTTGCACTGAGATATATTACCCGAGTGACCAAGAAATGAGGCATGTCACTAAAATGGAAGCGTGTCATAAAAAGGAAAAGGCAAGAGAGAAAAATGTTAGTTGGAAAAGCATATTGAAGAAAGTGAAGAGTGGAAGCACTACTTTTGAGAAAAGTCAATAAAGAAGAATGAGAGGTAGTCTTTTTAATTTCCCTCACTACAGGGTAGACCGATCTCATTAAATTCAGAATGGCACGTTGGTGCAACAGCAAAAGGCTGAACACTATAAAAAAACTATCAAGAATAATTAAGAAAATGACCAAGTGTGAGACAAGGTTGGTACTTGGTAACCAAGCCACATGGTACCATATATCATGTTCCAATTTTTCTATGCGAGTTATCATTGATGATGAAGTTTTACCTTTGAAAAATAATTTGACCTTATTATATTCGGATTTTAGAGAATATTTCTATGTATACGTATCTTTTAATTTCTTCCCTGACCTGTGTTTATGAAATAAATAGAAATATATGGCTTCTTGTTCTACTAATTGATAATCAACAACGTTTTCTTTTTAGATCTTAAATACGTAGATTTTTATTTCTTATGACATATATAATAACAGCATTGTACCTTACATATGTTAAACTAGCAAATAATCTATCACACTTGTGACAATTTAATTATAATAAATTCTTTAGGGAGAATTTTTTATTAAATACTACCTACCAATGTATCTTATACATTTATCAATATTGATAAATAGTGACTTGTGTTTATTAATTAATTATTTAAAGTTT